CTCTGGCTGGGCTGCACGAAATGTCACCATTCCATTTTGACTTGCATTTTGACGTTTCGATGGAACAGCATTTCAGTTCAAATTTTGTTTCAATTCAAAACTGCTTTCCGTTTTGTCGAACAGTTTTGCTGTTTTGACGCTGTTTCAATGTTTCGCCCATAGGCCATAATGGAGAAGCACAAAACAGCATATAACTTTGTCATTTCTGGCCTAATTTGGATGAAACATGCAGGAATGGTAGCCCCTTCTGAGGGCATGACGCCTGCCAAGTTTCAAAGAGATAGATACAGGGGTTTCATGGACACTCCAACTTAAAGTCTTGAAAGCAAAAACCCATGTCACCTGTATGTGTTAAGCCACAGCAGGGTCAAAACTGCAGGCGTGCTAGTCCCTGCTGAGGCAACAAAGCCTGCCAAGGTTCAAGGAAATAGGTGGAGGGGCTTGGGGGAAACTGCACCTCAAGCTGCGGACAAGCAAAACTCATGACGTGGGTGACACTGTGTGTGTTAAGGTGCAGCAGGGTGAAAGCTGCAGGCCTGCTAGCCCCTGCTGAGGCCATGAAGCCTGCCAGCTGTCAAGGAGAGAGGTGCAGGGGGAGTTAGGGTTCTGGGGCCCTGCACCTCTAGCGGCTGACAGCCAAAACTCATGACATGGGTGGGTGATACTGTGTGTGTGTTAATGTGCGCCCTCACTCAACTGACACCAAGGCAGAAAGCAGGGCAGTTCAAACACTGGTGCCTTTTATGCAGTTTTTCTACGCCTCCCCCAGAGGACTGGGATTGTAAGAGACCTCAGGAAAGGATGACAGTCACTGGCCAGCTACACAATCAATAATAAGAGCACTCCTTCCTTCCCTTCCCCCCTCTTCCCTCTCCCTCTCCTTACTTTAGTTTCTGTTTCCTTGCAGGCAAGCCCAGCTTGATCTTTGAAACTCAAAACATTTTAAAAATTTCAAAACATTTTGAGTTTCCTCATTTCGTTTCGAGGCTGTTTCGAAACTGTCTGTTTCATTTCGATTTTGCTGTTTCGAGTGCGAAACAACTCAAAACAGTGTCGAAACGAAATTGCTGGCAAAATTTCATACAGCCCTAGTATGTAGCTCCATATCTCAATACCATACACACTGTCCCCCTGCTAGTGATTGGTTTTTGCCCAGCTACAATTTCAGGACAGGCTCATCCAGGTATTCACATATAAAGCTGCGTACCTGCCTGGCCAGAGTTTAATCTACTGAGTATGCTTAATGGCTGTGTGGATACTTGCATAACTATCCTGCATGTGGAATATATAAGCTATGCGTACATGCCCAAAGCAGTAGTTACATGGCTAGGTAAGTGCCATTTGGGTATGTAAAGTGCAGTAGGGTTGTACCATACCTCCCCATTGCTAGTACTTGGCCTTAGTGCAAAAATAGAAACATAGGTCACAGATGAAGGTTGGAGGGGATATGGGGATAGTTGGAACTTGCTGAAGGCAAGATGCAATTCATCCTGTGGCTCACAGCACCCTCAGAGACATCTATTTTTGCTGTGGAGCAGTCCTAGCTCTGAAGTCCTTATGCTATGGCATTAGCTAAAGGTAGAATCACTGAGTTAAGTTTCAAAGCTCTCCTGTTAAGTGTTGTTATCTCCATGGTACAGATGGGGAAAAGGGAAGAGAGTTAAAGGCAAAGACCTGTCCAAGGTCACACAAAGAGTTAGTGACTAAGACTAAACATAGATACCAAGGGCACTTGCACACATGCAAGGAGGCTGCTCTGATGGACTGTAAATCCAGCGCATCAGAGCAGACTCAGTTAATCAAATCTGCTGGAACATAAAAATTAACGTGCTCCAGCAGCCTCCAGCATCACATGTATCAGCATCCCCACCCTGAAAAATGGTGGTGGGGAGCTTTGAACTAAAGCTTGTCAAATGAGCTTTTGTTCAGAGTGCCCTGCCACCATTTTTCCAGCACAGGGATGCTGATACACGAGACCCAGGTGTTTTTAAGTATCGTGGCTCACTAATTAAAGTGCCTTTCCCCAGCCCCCGGAGCACATCTATAAATGGCCCAAAGAACCAAGAACCTAGTCCTTTGCTCTAACCACTGAAGAAGTCCTGACTCTCAGAAAACCATACAGTACAGGAAGGGGTGCTTCTGCCCTTGAACACAGTGACAGTTTCGTAGATCTATAGATATTATGGCCTGAAGGATCACATCACATCATCTGACCACCTCAGCACAGAGTGACCTTGTAGCACCTGCATCCAACTCTATAACTTTGGGTCAGGCCAGAATATAGCTCGGAGAAAGTGTCCATGAGGCCGGCTGCATTTCCTCTTCTCCAAATCCTAATGCCGACCATTAAGTCAGCATTGCTATGATAGAGTGAATCTGGAAATTAGTGACAGACTCTCTTTATGATCTGTGCTCTGGGAAGAAGCAGCATGGTTAGGCTGGACAGCTCACTTATTACTTCTGTCACCAAACCATAAATACAAGAAATGAGGTTAGTGAGATGGGAACATTAGTGAAGGGCTGGGAGATTAATGGACTCAACTGTGAAAGTGCAGCCTGTCACTGCTCACGGCTCCATTCCTTGTTGGCACAGCTGGAGCAATAGATCTCAAGACACTGGCAACTCTAGCAGTGTCCACTTTACTGCTGTTTGTGGAGGAGAGTGCATGTACATAAATTTAGACAAGGGAAACAAAGTTACTGTGCATTTTTGGTCACCTAGTCTGAAGTCCAAACCGAAATGGCATTTAGAGAGAGTGCCCCAGCTCTGTCAGTGTACCCTGGGAACAGAGAGGAACAGCCATTTGCACTTCTTTTGGAGCACTGTTAAAACCATACTGTGTTCCAGTCACTTTTTCGGATGAAATCAGATGCACTGCAGGCCAAAGACCAGTATGGACAGCAGCTAGTACACGTGAAGGGAGAGCTGAGATAATTGTCAGTGTCCAGAAGGATGCTCCATACTCCCATGCATAATACTCTGATAGTTTGTGCACCATCAGTAATAACAAGTAGTTTCCAGCATTCCTGAAAGAGAGGGGTTCATAGCACTGGATCACAGCAGTGCTTTTTGTGAGTAGGTGCCATGCCACACATGTAAGACCACTTGCATATCAGCAACAGCAGTTGGGCAGTATGCTGGGTCTCTTTCTACAGGGTCCACTCACTGGATTGATGGCCTGGATTCATGCATGCTTGGGAAAGAAAGGTGATGGGAAACATGATCATTAAATTAGGCAAAACAATGTAGTCCCAATGTAGTCCCAACCTAGAAATCTTAATGAAATGGAGATACAGAGCCTTTCATCTCTAGGGCTCCTCTCTATCCTACAGACATTGGGGTGAACAAGAATTCACTGATGGCCACCTAGTGGGGGCCTCTTTGACTGAGCTGGTCAGCTCAACAAGCCCTGCTTCCCATTTAGTGCCACTTCGCTGAGTTGGCAGAGGGGGCAGTGATGGAGTGTGACACCGGAGTGTCTGTGGAGTAAGACTGAGCCAGACTGGCTGGTTCATGGGGGTAGGACTCATCCAGCCGCTGCCCATGCTGAAGCCGGTCCTAGGACTGAAGGCTCCATCCTCAGCAATAATGGGCACCCTCAAGTCCATTTGAGATCAGTCAAGAGCAGCTAACAGGAAGGAGCACAGAGGCTTTTTCATGCCTGGGCGTTTTCACTGGCACTCATAAATGTAGGCTTCTGCAGTGCCTCAGACCAAATTAAAACAGCACTGGGGAGAGCAACTGGGGTAAAACCAGAATGAAAAAGCTGGTTTGTCTTCTCAGTAGTACAGAAGCCCCCAGCAAGCTTGTCTGTGATCCCCATTTGTATTTGTTTGCATCTGGACTCATCCCTTTCATTAAAACATTGCAGATCCCTTGCTGATGGGGATCTTCAGTGCTCTTCATTACTTGCCTCAGCCCCTCTTCCCTCTATCCCCACTAGGCTAGTTGGTTTTCACTCTTGCTTGTACAGAGCACTTTGATGCCACAGTCACTTTACTGTACTAGGCCCCGAGGTGAGCTAGCACTTCACTACTGACCGTTATGAACCAGACTGGGTACTTTGATCTATTTTTAAACTAAGTAGTGTTTCATCTGCTGTATAAATGCTGCATCATTTTAGATGCATCTGCTTACAGGAAAGCAATGGATTCTGCTCTGTAGTGTGATATGGCAAAACTCTTTCCTTTCTAGTTGCTGGCTGTTATTCTGTTGGAAGCCTAATTTACCTTCACATTTTATTCTCTCTCCACGTGCTTTGAAGGTGACAGCATAGAGAGGACTGTGCTGCAATCGCATGCTGTTTGATGTGGCCACAGAGCCTTTTCTTTGTCAAAATCAATCATGAGGATTGCCCTTTTGGATTTATCCTTCATACAGATGAGCTAGGAACAGACATGTTGAGGCATCTACCCGTCCCCTGCATCTTAATGGGACTAGGAAGATTCTAATAGCAGAACTGCCTGCACTGGGCTGCGTGTTCATAAGCAGGCTCAGATTTTGTCAGTTGAAAATGAAATTCATTTAATTTATTAAGAAATGTAGTTTTGAGTCTCCTTGTATGACTGCTGAACACACTGTATGTGTCCAGGGATTACAGCTGCCCAGTGTCCTTAAGAGACCCATTATTTACCTTAAATCTACAAACCCAAGCCCCAGCTCTGAAGAGGTTAATGCTGGGTGGGTGCTTCAGATCCCCTGTTGGCCTCTTTATTCCTCCAGCTGAAGCAGAAATAAATACAGAACATGTTACCTTGCTTCTATTTCTGTTCCAAGTACAATGGCAAATATTAAGGGGTATTATGTGCTCTCTCCACTTCAGTCCCTGACACTGGCAGCTGGCATTGGAAAGGTTCACACTTCAGGTGACAAGATGGGGTCCACGATGAGAAGCTTTTGCTTATCTGTCTGTCTGAGCTGTCAGAGCTGCTAGAGTGACCAGGCTCAGAGTCAGTGCATCACCTTGTAACAGTTTGGGATTTCTGATATTTCTGGCTAGGTGAATACAGCCATGCATGAGGCCAAGCTGATGGAGGAATGTGATGAGCTCATGGAGATCATCCGGCAGCGTAAACAAGTGATTGCTGTCAAGATCAAAGAGACTAAGGTAAGAGGCCTCTGCTGTGCCTGTCTGTGTGCGTGTAAGCGACATTTGATGTGTGTAAGCGACATTTGGTATGTGTGTGTGTTTGTGTATTTTCAGAGCTACTGTTGCAGTTACTCAGTGGAAGTAGTGCTGATATTGATGCTACTTCAACAGTTGCAACAGATTATCAGTTTCATCCCCTTGCCTATCATTCCCTCTCCCTGCCTCCCCCCCTCCACCACAATGTGCTGTTATTTGTGGCACTAATACAGTGAAGTGATAGAGGTAACTCAGGCAAAAAGCAAAGCCAGAGAGGAGAAGAAAGTTGGACTTCCAGCAAGTAGCAAGTAGAGCATGAATTAGAATTGATGCTTTGGGGAAAAATTGGGGTATTTGGAAATTAGCTACAAGTCTCAGCAACCATGGACCACAATGACTACTATATCCATCCAGAACCTCTCTCTGCACTTCTGTCAGATAGCCCCTGAAGGGGGCATGGCTTAAAATCTCTTCTGAAGGATGTTTGCTTACTTGCCTCTCAGTCTCTTTCGGGCAGACATCAGTTGCAGTACACAGGGTAAGCTGGTGTGGGCAAAATACTGCTCACAGGCTGGATCAAGCCCACCAAGGCATTTTGATTTTGCCCAGCCTGGAGCAGGTCCCTTGGCCTCACGTGGTCCAGGTGCAGGGCGCAACTTGGGCCATGGAGCATGTGACTGGTCTCACCCCCCCTAGGCACACAATGGGGCTGGGGCGGTGCAGCTGCCAGACTGTTTGCTGGCAGCCCTTATGGTGGCTCTTTCTGGCTGCTGCTGCCATACCTAACCTCACTGCCCAGGCATCTTGGCCCATCTGCTGGGGAGGGGACTCATGTGGACAGGGCACAAGGCTAGGCTGCTGGGATGTGGGTCATGAGCAGGTGGGGAGCTATGTCCCGGAGCAGGACAGGCAGACAGGGCCAGGGATCAGAATCAGGACTGCGGGACAGTGACAGTGTAGGGCTGGGGCCAGGGGCAGAGCCATGATATGCTGCCCATACACCCTTGTGACAGGTGTCAGTTCCATTGGCAGGGGTATGCGGGAAGTAGATCACAGCTCTGCCCCAGGCCCCACCCCATGCTGTCACTGCCCCTCAATCCTAATCCTGATTACCAGCCCCTCCTGCCCATCCTACTCCTGGACACAACAGATCACAGCATTGCCCCACAATTCTGATCCCAGCCCCGGCCCTGTCTCTGCCCACTTGTCCTGCTCCTGGATGCTGCTCCCTGCCTGCCCACAGCCCCATCCTAGCTGGCCTGCTGCATGAAGGGGCCACTTAGGGAGTTTTGATGAGCTGCGGCAAGTGGGTTGTGGTGGGTGCGCTGCCCCAGGTCCATGACAACACACAAAAACTACCTAAGTGGCCCTCTGGCCAAACTAATTGCCTACCCCTGAGGTAAGCAGTGGAGAAAGAGCAAGCTCTCAGCTCTCTGCCTTGGAGCTGAGAGGTTTTCCCAGTGAACTACAGACTCATTAGGTGGGTCTGACATAAACATGAGTTTATGTCTGGTGTTGGCAAGTGTTGGTTCACACCTGTGTGACATGGTATGAACCAAATGATGCTGGACAAAAGCTAGGTACAAAACAAAAATTTTGTGTCCTGGAAGACATTTGTGGAGAGTCTGGGTTGTGCTTACAGTCATGCAGGGATCCAATTACCTGAATCACAAATTCTAATCTAGACAAAGCCATAATGAGATTGGAAAGGGGGGAAAGGTTTGGAGGTATTTTAAGGCCAGAAAGGACCGTCAGATCATCTAACTTGACACAGGACAGAATTTTACCCAGTGACTCCTGCACTGTCCCCAGTTACCTCTGTTTTCTAAAGTAATACAAATCTTGAACTTCAGAGGTGAACAGTCCTGTCATTTTCTCTTCCTCCAGAACAGCTACTCTAGGGTATGAATGCCAGACCACCTGCACCATAAGTAACAGTTCTGGGCTAGTTGAGCCTTCTTAAAATGGGTTTGCAATATCGTGAGAATCTCAAGCACTTGGCACTAAATACCATTCTGAGTAATGTAGCCTGTGATCTCCTTATTACAGTGTTTTTGTGAAATCCCCTCCTCCAGCTTTACTCTGTATTATTTTATATCATATAATCAATGTGTGAAGGAGCTGTAAATGGCATGAGTAGTAGGTGATGTTTTTAAAGAATTACCATGATACACACCCCATTCCCTACTTCCTGAAACAATGTGCAAGTCCAGGTGGCCCCTCACTATTCTTATCTCCAGGGTCCAGCTGTCTAGGACAGATTAGTGTTCCAGGAGCTATTGATGATAGCTGGCAAGGAAAACCAGACTGCACTGATTACATGATAGATGGCTGGGTCACATCAGCACACACTGCTTCCTAAGGGAATTTATAGCACCACAGTGCTAAAATGGTAATGTTAAATTAATATTGAAGGGCCATTTTAGATCAAAACATCAGATAAATTAGAAACTGAAACATCTGCAGTGTGTTTAACCTTAGGTTGGTTTGGTGGCTATTCCAGAGGTGTTTGTTCAGTGAAAGTAGGTTATATCCTCAACCATAACGTGAACATTAAGATAGGACTAGCCAAAGATTAATAGATTGCAATATCTGGGTCATGCTAACAGTTCTGGGACTTCAAGCTCTGTCTGTAACAATAGCATACTGGGGTTCCCTGTGTATTAACTGATTTCTTTTCCTAATGTGCTCCGATTGTAAGTAAAATAATATTTTTAACTGCTCTGTGTCCAAAAATGAACCTGAGAGTTCTTTATAACTTGTGCATCATTGCCCAAAATAAAAGCTTTTGAAGGCCACATTATGTCTTTATTGTTACTTAGGTGTCTTGGAAGACACAATCTGGCCTGGAGAATTTGTTACTTGAGATGATGCATGCAATAGGGAGCTACCCAGCTTGACTCTCAGCTCCTGAGGAAAGTTTACAGAAGTGGTAATTGTAATCACAACCCACATAAATGTGACAAGGAAATGGAGTGAAGCACAGTGGATGTGGAACTTTATAATGTCATTTATAACATCACTTTAATGGACAGAACCAAAGCTTCTGAGCACCATCTATAGTTATTGTAACCCACTATAAAGCAAGAGATGCAGTCACAAACAGCCTAAGCTCCATTGCCATCTGTTTGTGAACAGTTTACTGTGCGTCTGGCTGATTTCATCATGTCTTTAGTCTGGACAAGTCCCTGAGTAGCCCAGCAATGCTGAAAACTTTATTGTTGAAGTCCCATTCTCCAGTCAACGATAGTCTTGTCACTGCTGGTAACACAGAATCCTGGAAATTGAAACAGGCTTCCCTGTGAATTTGCTGGTGAAATTGGGCTGCAGATGAAAATGTTACACTTGTCAGTGCTATAATCATACCTACAAGGTTAAATACAAACTGTATGACCTTAGCTAGTCTATAGGCTAAAGAAAATATAAATGAATGCCATATTGCATGTGGGATGAGCTATGTTTTCTTTCTCTAATGCAGAAACAATGTTGGGAAACAAATACCTGGCTATTATAGAGATTAGCACTCCATTGCTCTTGGTAGAGTAGCACTGATGTGCAATATATTTCTAAGTGCAACACAAAAAGCAGTCTTTTTTATGAGCCTCCAGTCTCAAATATTTGTAAAATCTGAAAAGCCAGAAAAGAGAGGAAGTGTCTTTCTCAATCCCTTTGTTGCAGAGCACTAAGGTGTGTCTGCTCCTTCAAAAGTAGAGGCAGCTTAGCTATGGACACCCCAGAGCCAGGTAGGGCTCCACAGCTGCAGGTTGCCTTGGCAGCAGGCTAATCAGGGCATTAGCTAGCACCTGCACATGTTCAGCTGACCAGAAGGAAACAGGGCCCTGGACACGTATAAACTCCAGGGCTGGGGCTGGCAGGGGTTCAGTTCTCTGTCAGCAGCCAGGGGGAAGGAGCTTTTGTAGAAATGCTACTCAGAGATGCTTAGTTGTCTATTCTGCTGCTGGTAAGACTAATGGGCTCTAGAAGCTGGAAAAGCACTCTGTTCAAATTCACAGATGATACCAAATTATGGGGTAAAGTTAACACACTAGAGGGTAGGGAATGAATTCAGGTGGATCTGGACAGGTTGGAAAAGCTGGCAAAACATAATAGGATGCAGTTCAACAAAGACAAGTGCAAAGTGCTGCACTTAAAGAGAAGGAATCACCAACACACTTACAGGCTGGGAGAGGACCTTCTCAGTAGCACAGCAGTGGGCAGGGATCTTGGAGTCATTGTTGACACCAAGATGAACACCGTGACACCATTGTAGTTGAGGATGACTGTCTTCCATGATTGTCTTATCTGTGTGCCTAAAGATGGCTGATGAGGCCTATCTGGGACAGACAGACTAATGCAGCTGGGACATGTGTTTCCATCAGATGGGTGGTGCTGGATTCTTGATTTGGTCCCTGACATGCCATTTCTACTATTCCTGCCTTTCCATCTCCTGTTGTTGTTGTGAGGTTTCAAAGTACTGAGGTCCCTGGCAGCAGACTCTTCCTCCTTGGGGTGGTCCTGGGCAATGGTGTTCCATGAGTTGACATTGATATTGCATTTTTTTTAGTTAGCCTTGAGGACATCCCTGAAGTGCTTTCTCTGTTGTCCTCTTGAGCATATGCCTTGGCTGAGCTGGGAGAATAAAACTTGCTTTGGGAGTCTGGAGTTGGACATCCAGATGACAGGCAGCCCAACAAAGTTGCTGTCAGGTGATCGTCGCCTCAGTACTCATGGTGTTTGCTTATAGAAGGATGCTAATGTTGATGCATCTGTCTTCCTTCTGGATTCAGAGGACCTTCCACAGTCAGCATTGGCATAGATGGTGTGGAAGAATGCCATTCCAGTCTCTTCCCAGACTCTTCTATTAGGTTTTTCCTTGCCATTGTCTACTCACCTGTCTGTCAACTGGTTGCTAGGCAACCACATTTTTGCTTACGTGACTTGGGCCAGGTGAGAGGGGGATGGACCTAGCTCTCTATTGTGTT